CCTATTGCACTGCATGGAGAGCAATTCATTTAAAATCGCTCTTGTCCCCCCCCCCCTCTCGACAACTTTGCAAACGTCTCTGCGCGATTTGGTTGAGAATAATGGCTTATGGCAAGTTATTGATCAGAACGTCGATCACTGCAGGTCATATATCGGCAAGCAATTCTTCATAACTAGACACTGCACAAATGGAAACGATACAGGTTTGCCCAGTGATAAACACTCGCACTTCACAGACACGCGCACCCCCGACCGAACGCGGCACGGCACAGCGCAACTGACGCCGGGAAGCCGGGAACGCATTAAGTGAAGGATTCACAGGTGCGCAACTTTACTGCGAACAATAAAAACCTACCGCAAACGATTAAAAAAAAAAGTTTTAGGGCAATCGGAAATACAAATGTATTGACTTATAGAAATAAAATTGTCATTCACCTTCCAAATAACCCAACAATTTATTTGCCGTGAAAAGTGTCTGGAAATGGAAAGTTGCAAACATGATTCAGCAAGTAGGGAAACGCAGCAGCTACCTGGCGAATAATCTCAGGCTGGTTTAGTGACGAGTGCATTGCTACGGCTTGTTCCTCACCCTTCACAGATTACTATAACAAAACTACCCCTAGTATTTTGATCATCCTGAGGCTGGCTTTCACCTAATAATTTGATGAGGGTCTTCCTCGTTTCGGATTGAGGCGAAAACAAACGTCAAACAACCTTGATAGTTAATTCAGCACTTCAAAACAAAGGTACACCTAGAGTATCATTACAATACCGGATCATAACGATCTGGATAGTTCTCAGCCTGTAAGCTAACTAAGCGGTAACTAGTCAAGTGGTAGGTACCGGAAGCATTGACAACCTGGTGACTGTTTCGAGACCCTTGTTTTGACACATAGCTCGTCAATATTTTTTACAGTGTATTATAGCATATGCAGAACAATATGGCCTGGAGCAGAACACATTGTGCTTGCTTCCATACATCACGCGCTTATTTAGCAAATTTCTCTGATTCAATCTGCCTTACTATCAGTTGAAAGACATACATTTCATTAAAAAATGACAAAAACGACCGAACACTGTTATCACCTACCATTTTTACGGAAGTGCGCAGGAGGCCACATCACTGCACGGCGGTTGGCGCGCAACTGAAACTTTCAAAATGAAACGGCCGGAAACGTTTTTTGGCGCCACCTATATAACAAGTAACAGCTTTGTATATGTTACTACTAACACGTCTAACTAGCGTAACTAAGTCCGTGTTGCAAAGGTGTAGCTGATACCTTTGACAAGGACATAGATTACATAAGTATGTATCAGTATTGTTGCAATGGTGTAGCTGGTTCTTTCGACAAGGATATAAATTACAAATCATAAGCAAATCTATGTTCCATATTACGAATAAGACCCTGGTAGTTTTCACAATAGCCTCCATAATCCTTGTCAATTTTATGAATGGTCGACTAGGTGTTGAGGCTGATACTAATATTTGCCCTGTTGATTCAACCAACTATGACAAGATATTCGTCGTTCGACATAACCTTTATTAGTATTTTTGACAAACGCTCGTCGTTGGACGACAACCCCTTGTCAAAATGAGTTTACAGTGTATAGGTGAAATCAGATACATTTCAGATTGATTTGGTGGGCAGTTTTACGATAGCACTTGCAATGTTTAGCGATTCTAAAAGATATTTTGACCTAAGAATAATTTTAAATAATTTGTAATTAAGCGCCATTAATGATCAATTTCATGAAATTTCGTTAACTTTAGGGTCAATGCGGACCCCCTAGATGGCTTCAGAAATTCTTGAAATTTGGCATGGTTGATACATTTAGGATACGTAACAAATTAATTTTGGTGACAGGGGGTTCGTAGAAATTTTTCGAAAAAGTGGGGCGTTTGATGCACCCTAATGCATATGTATCTTAAGTTTGTTAAAACATGCCACTGTAGATGACGAGGCGAATAAGTTGCATCGTATTTGCATATTTATTGTTTAGTTTAGATATTACTGTTGAAAATGTCCCCTGGCCACGCGATGGCCCACCGCTGCGGCACCATGACCAGGTGGCGTGGCGGTCCACCAGCCGGCGGCCGTGACTGCTGCACCAAGGTCGCAGTCCTGTCGGCAACTGGAGCATGGTTTACAGTCCAGTGGGCGGCGCTGCATTTTCTGGGGTGAAGGAAGTGCAAACTGCCTGGGAAAGTCGCAAACGTTCAGCGTCGCAGGCGAGTTGATATGGCGGTCAGCTGACCACACTCTGATAAAGGAGAGGGAAAAAACTCACCGATTCAGCAAATCCATGTTATCTTTCGGACGGCATCGCAATGATCGACTGAAACTGAAAATGTACGTTACTGGTTATTCTCTAGGCGCGCTTGTTACAGCTTAAATGCACTGTATAATGGCATTTTCGGCAGCTAGCATTTCGGTGAATCGCTAACGCTAAATTTCTGATCAGTTGAAGACGCAAACGCCATTTATGAAGGGTCACCTATTTACCTACCTATTTTACCGCGCCAGAAAATATCAACTGCATTCTATAAAAGAAAACAACAGAAGGAAAAGATAACTATTGCGCTTTGTCTTTTTTTTTCTAGGAACGTTTTTTTTAGAGCTTTCAGAGCGTCTTGTATGAATAATGGCACCAAGCTGAGTCTTAATCACCGGCCTAACGGCGGTCCTTTTAATTTGCTGGTCATGTCAGTTTACCAGCGGACACACCCACTTGCACAGGTCAGACTCATTATCGTTTGCGGCGCATAATGATCTCAATCAATGATTTGCATTGACGGATTTCTAAATCGAGGTTTGGTAATCGATGATAAAATGAAAACAGTTGACAGAACCTCTTGTGTATGCAAAGTAATAGAACTGTAGAGGCTAGACGGAGGCGTAGTATACATGCATATTGAAAAGTGGCAGTATTCGAATTGAAAAATATGTAAATTCTCATCATCTAGTTTATGAAAGCATCATACTCCGTCTGTGTGTCCGCACATAGGTGTAGTGGGTTCAACGGCGCTGCTTACTGATCAGACTGGCCGCCTGACATTTCCGTCATTGAAAAAGCAGACGTTTCTGCGGATCAAGTCCTTGCGTACTTTGGTATGCACTAAAAGGTGGTCTTATGCATGCTTTCATCCGGTCAGAAGGGAAAGATATGCGTATTTTCTCCGATGTAAGAGCTGGCAGCCTAAAGACGGCTCTAAGGCAGCCTGTGGGCGGGCCAATCTAAACGTGCAGTCAGTCTTAAAAGTACTGCGCAACAGTGCGGGGGATCTGTCAAACCCGACCGTGGAAGGACTGCTACATTTGAGTCACCGAAGCAATTGACATCCTCGTCCATTCCCCAGGTCAATTGTTTCGATGACTTTCAAATTATAGCAGCCCCTTCCTCGGTCAGGATTGATGGACCCACCGGTATTTTGCGCGGTACTTTTAAGACTGACTATAGAGCGCACAACCGCCGATGATCTGACACATGGGCTGGACTTTCGACGTCGGCCGATCCGGAGATGAGAATGGGAAAACGGGCAAAAAATACAACACAAATATATCATAAATTGTAGAGCAGGGAGCGGATGTGAAAATCACACTCAAACGGATATGCTTGGCAGACTAAAAAAAGGCCAGTGAATATACATATTTCTTTTCTCAAAATAAGATACTAACGGAGCGCCATTTTTTAATAAATAACCTTTTATCTGTATAGCTCGAAGGAAAAAGGAAAAAAACTACAAACATCACCAGACAATGTACAAACAGCGTGCACTTTATGATCTAATTTATCATGCATTTGTTCAGCGTGACCACAACACAGCACATTCACGCACCGCCATTGATCATTTTCATGGCGTTCATTAACGTGGCCGAGCTGCGGCCAGTGTGTGGCGGCCCACCGCGCGCCGGCCGCGGGCGGGGTCCGCCGGATGTGACTCGCCGGTCGGGTCACTGTGACCGGACCACGCCAAACCAAAACGGTCGGTCACCGGCGCGGCGGCGACCAGCCGTGACCGGCCGGGGCGCCGGCGCCCTGCCCCGCCTCCGTTACGTCACGCCTCACACGCCGTTACGTCACCGGCGGCGTCTTACGCGCGACTCCCGGGGCGCCGGCTGCCGGCCGCGCCCCCGCCGCACGACCTTGCTCTCGCGCGCCGGGCCCACTTGCGCGCCCGAGTTCCCGCCATTGCGCGCTGCGGATAACGGCGCCAACGGGCCGAGGTCGCGCCGCTGGCCGCCAAAACCGCCCACCGTGAAATGGCCGCCACGTGGTCTGATGGAGCGACCAGATGGCGGGTTTCCATCAAGACTAGCGTAACGAATTACAAACAATTAACGCTTAATTTCAATTTCCACTTTCATGCTTGGACCAAGGCATGCTTGGACCGAATTTCAGGGTCATGAAAATACGGATTCAAGTGTCCATTTTAAGTGACATAATATCTTATGGCTTGCCTAATGAACTATAAAAATCGAACGACAACAAATCACCGACCCCATATGTAAGAATTTGTGGAGGATCGTTAGCCGAAGATCAAGAATCAAGAATCAAGACATTATTGGGCTGCAGAGAGAAGACATCGGATGCTAAGTCACACTCATTAGAACGTGCCAAAGAGCCTTATGCCAGAGCGGGTGACCCATGGTGATGACCTGCAGGTCGGCAGCAAGGCCGTATATAGGTCGGCAGTAGCCAGGTAGCAGCCCAAAATACTCCTCGAATAACCGAAAGGCCAAGCCAATAATACAGGCGAAACGCCTTTTGGACGAAGAACGAGCGAGCGAGGGAGAGGATACTTCCAACGGGCTTGTGCACAGCACTTTACCAACCGGTTGCTTGCGATCTAATAAATTTGGGTGCAATCGGACCAGCCGTTCTCGAGATCTGAAAGCGCCCCCTGCACAGGCGCACGTGTAGTAGCACCCTTACCGTAACACATACGAATGCATTGCCTGGTGGGTGCCTACCTGTATGCCAAGTTTCGGCGAAATTGCCTCAGTAATTACCGAATTATTGTAATGGGGACGTCTTTGAGTTTTGACACCTCTTTTTTGCATTTTGTACGTGGGGTGACTCACAAGCATCGAGAGCATTCGATGTTTGGTTGAAGAGATGTAACTACCCTACAAAAATTACTGTATGTCAATTGCCTAAGCGGTTGCCGAGATACCTATAATATGTAGGCCTCTCAAAATCGCCACGTTTGCAAAATAGCTTGAACACCCCTTTCACGTGCCGCCACGTGCCACGACGGTCACCTAGATGCATCAAGAGTAGACAATTACGGGGAAGAAAGGATGGGGCTACCCAGCAAAAAAAGGCCGCAGGCCGTTATCCCTTCATCCTTGTTATGTTCACGGGTTCTCGTTTATTGGATACGGTTTGCATCCTTTCGGCTCATAAGAATTGCTTCAATCAGAATGCTTTATAAAAAGATGCTTGCTTTTACATCAATACCCAACGGCCAACAATGACCTGTAGTCGATATTTCCGATATTTCCGAAGAGACTGTTGAGACCGTCCCGTACGGGGCAGGCCAGCCAGCTGCAGCAATCCTGGGGCCGATCTCACCAAATGCGGTAAACTCGTTTGGGGTAGCTGCAAGTTACCGTACCGAAATAACCCCAAGCAAATAATCCAGGCTCACCGGCCCAAGGGTCCAGCGCCTTGGAGATAGAATTGGTTATCAATGGTTAGGAGTTACTGCCAGTCCTGAAGATACGACGGCGGATAAAAGGCACAACTCACCAGTTTTTTTTGTTTTCTGTTTTTTTTTTTGCTTTTTTGGCGGACCAAGGCTGAAAAGTGAAATCCCATGCTTCTTTTCAGGTGTTTATGTATTATTATTATTATTATTAGATCGTGTATTCCACTAACCACAAGCATAAAGTGGGCGTTACAGTAGAAAGTACGTTTATTGAGCTACTTACTTCAAAGCAAAACATGACGTTCTTATGCACGTATAGGCTAGCATAATCTTCTTGTGCACGCATTCTAATGATATTTATCAAGCTTCTCTTTTTTCGTCAACGCTTTGTTTTCAAATAGGTATGTCTAACATCAAATCAAGGGTACAGCATTTGTATACAGCTGGCTTTGTGGACCACCGATTTGCATCTCTGCGAATTCCCAGCACCTCTCACCCGTACATTGGTCTCTGACCACTGCGCCTTGGGCCGTTCAGCGGTCGTGCAGCCTTGACCGCCGTGCCTGGGTATAAAATGTCGCTCGAGCGCCGGCAATGCCAGTCCAACACTGGAGCGCACACGTAACATGAAGGTGATGATAAGTTAATAATAACTGTATTCGGTAACTGGAGAGAAAATAAAGTCAACCATCACTTCATCTTTGTCTTCAACAGTATTTTCCTTCCAAGAGTACTAAGTCAATTACCTCATAAACTTCACATAACTTTGATTTTATAGAATCGTATAGGTAAAATGACCGTTGCGAGCATTCCGTTTATCTGAACAAATATTACGCCTTTTCAGCTCTTCTTGATCGCCGCCCTGGCCGCCGTGGCCGCCGCCCAGCACGGCAACAGCTACGGACACGACGAGTACGACGCCAAAACGCCGTGAGTAGCGTGACTCGGTCATAAATGAGCTATCAATGCCGGTATTACTCGGAACATAGCAGTAGCTTCACTGAACTTGCATGGCCTGCAAATGCCAAGCCTTACCGTAATGCATCAATTCATTCTTTCATTCATTCACTCATTCATTCGTTCGTTCGTTCGTTCGTTCGTTCGTTCGTTCGTTCGTTCGTTCGTTCGTTCGTTCGTTCGTTCGTTCGTTCGTTCGTTCGCTCGCTCGTTCGTTCGTTCGTTCATTCATTCATTCATTCATTCATTCATTCATTCATTCATTCATTCATATTGTATTGTTTCAGGTATGCGTACGACTACGCCGTGCACGACCCGCACTACGGCGCCCAGTTCAACAAGAAGGAGACCAGTGACGGCGGCAACGTCGAGGGCTCCTACAGCGTCGTGCTGCCCGACGGCCGTACCCAGCACGTCAAGTACTACGCCGACCACTACGGCGGCTTCAACGCCGACGTGTCCTACGAGGGCTACGCCCAGTACCCGGAGCACCACGCGCCTGCCTACAAGCCTGCTCCTGCCTACAAGCCCGCTCCTGCTTACCACGAGCCCGCCTACAAGCCCACCTACAAGCCGGTCCATAAGCCCGCCTATACGCCTACCTACAAGGCCGCTCCGCTCTACAAGCCGGTCTATTAGCAAGTCTAGTCTATTATAAAGTCAACAGAATAATTACATTTATGCATACTAAAATTTAGCACCGGCCATGGTCGGCATTGTCTGTACCTGAGCAGTGTATCAGTTCGCTTACTTTGCCTTTGTACATATGTTATGTGTATGGTGTTAACTATGTGTTATGTATGGAAGTCTTTGTCTATGATGTTAGATGTCTAAAATGTGTTTTGTCTTTCATGTGCTTTTATGTCTGTGGTTTGCGAAATAAATACTGATGTCTTGAAACTACACAATTCTATCATTTACCTTCTTCTATCATATGTAAGTACACACAAGCTTATCATTTTAGCTCCGCTTGATAATAACCCGCGCCCCGCTGGGCTATTCAGCCATACCCGCGCTCTGGGGAGGGGCAGATTCTGCCCCCCCCCCCTGTCTAACTTCCGAACCGATGGTCGTAGAAAGACGGGGAAAACGGCAATCGAAAGCTCTCAACAAGGCGGATCTTAAGAGCCCAAACTTTTTGCTTAAGTAGGTCAGAGGTCAGGTCAAGGTCAGGTCAAGTTCAGGTCAAGGGTACAAAATGCAAGTTTCTACAGTATCGGCCTTGCACCGTAGTTGCCGAAGAACGGACTGAGACTGATTGCCCAAAACGTGTTCTTAGGCTACCAAGACAATATTCGTTGCATACAATATCATTCAAAGGTCAAGGTCAAGGTCAGGTCAGGTCAGGTCACCATGGGTGTAACTTTGTATACTTTTGAGGTCCCATGTGGGACCCCAATGCGAACATTTGGGACCCCAATTGTCATTTTGGGACCCCAATAGTGGAGGCCCCCGAGACGCACCAGCTACTTTACAAATGGAGGTCCGATGTTCATATAGAAGGTTCTCTGTATAAAAAGGAGGTCCTTTGGACAAATCGGAGGCCCTGTTGGACAAATGGGAGGCCCCCTGGACAAATAGGAGGCCCCCTGAACAAGCAGGAGGCCCCCCGGAAAACAGGAGGCCCTGGATAAATAGGAGGCCCCCTGGAGAAATAGGGAGGCTCTCTGGACAAGCAGGAGGCCTCCTGAACAAATAGGAGGCCCTAGACAAATAGGAGGCCCTCTGTACAAATAAAAACCCCTGAACAAATAGGAGGCCCCATGGGCAAGTAGGAGGCCCTCTGCAACTAGGAGGCCCCCTGGAAAAATAGGAGGCCCTATGAACAAACAGGAGGCCCTAGAACTAGACAAACAGGAGGCCCCTTTCACAAAAGGAGGCCCCCTGGACAATTAGGAGCCCCCTGGACAAATAGGAGGCCCTCTTTCACAAAAGGAGACCCCTTGGACAATTAGGAGACCCCCTGGACAAATAGGAGGCCCCCTTTATGAATAGAAGGCCCCTGGATAAATAGGAGGCCCCCTGGATAAAGAGGAGGCCCCCTAAAATAGGAGCCCTCTGGATAAATAGGAGGCCGCTTGGAAAATAGGAGGCTACTTTAACCAATAGGAGGTCACCTGGAAAAATAGGAGGCCCCCTGAATAAGTAGGAGGCCTGCTGGACAAATAGGAGGCCTCTTGGGCAAATAGGAGGCCCCTAGAAAAATAACAGGCCCCTTGGACAAATAGGAGGCCCCCTGGACAAATAGAAGGCTCCCTTAACAAAAGGAGGCCCTTCAAAAAAGGAGGCCCCTGGACAAGTAGGAGACCCCCGGACAAATAGGAGGCCCCTGCACAAATAAGAGACCCCTGGTAGAATAGAAAACCCCTGGATAATTAAGAGGCCCCTGAACACGTAGGAGGCCCCCTAGATAAAGAGGAGGCCCCCTGGAAAATAGAAGCCCTCTGGATAGATAGGGGACCTTCTGGACAAACAGGAGGCCTCCTGGACAAATAGGAGGCCCCCCAGACGAATTGGAGGCCGCTTGGACAAATAGGAGGCCCCCTAGACAAATAGACTCTGTAACAGTAGGAGGCTCTCTGTACGTGCAAATAGGAGGCCGGCGCTCAGCCTGTAGAAGCTTAGCTGTATGTACAAAAAGGAGGCTCTCTGTGCAAGTAGTCGAAGTAGGAAGTTCTCTGTACTATACCTACAAATAAGAGGCCCCCTGGGCAACTTAGAAGCTACACAAATTGGAGGTCACCTATAAAAAAGCGGGACTCTGTGTTGGAATGCCTGTTTGAATAAATTGTTTTCCTGATATTCAAATTATTTAATCCTCGCCCGCACATGGGGGGGGGGGGCAGTGGTTGCCACTCCCCCCCCCCCCAGGTAATTTTTTCTGCTCTGCACTCAACATTTTGATTGATAGAAGCCGAATGTTTCGTATATCTGCTTCTCTATCCTTTCTTAGCGTCCACTAAAAAATTCAAGTTTCTGTGGTTTTTGGTTTCCGAGATATGACTTTATTCTTCAGGTGATGTCATAACCCAAATGACAAATGCCCAATATCCTGCGTTGGCTATGGGTCTTGTGAGCGTTTAACACCTTGATTTCGGCCTTTTTTGCCAGTCTTACCTCCCACCTATCATGGAACATGTTGTTCGATGATGTAGAGATGCCAGGATCAAGGTCAACCTAGGTCATCTAAAAATATTGCGTTTTAGGCAAGCTGAGTTGACTTTCGTGAAGTTTCTTTGACTGTATTTTTGGTAAAAGCTTCTCAGTTCATGATCTCATGCTATAGGGACACATTCACAATCGGTGCACACATCAGTATACAAACAGACACACACAGACATACAAACACATATCATTGACCTTGACCTATCTTGACCTGAAATGACCACAGCCAGCAAAAACCTAGTCGGATAGTGTGACAAAGAGATTCTAGCTGGCTTGGCATCACAATACGGCAGCGTCATCGGTATATGATGAGCAGCGCACGTGATATTCCAACGGGCAACGGTGACCCTAAACAGCAGCATTATTTAGTTTGACCTGACCTGGAAAGTCAATTACTGACCTGATGAGGTTAAATTTGGTATCATTGGATTCGTCTCTTCCCAAAGAATCTGTTGCTCTTGACCGCGAAGCTTAAAATCTTGTTTGAATAAATTGTGGTGATGTCGAATAAAATACCTACACAAGCAGCGGGCCAACCCATCATATACCGATGACGCTGCCGTATTGGTGCCAAGCCAGCTAGAACAGCTCTTTGTCACACTATCCGGCTAATTTGCTGGCTGTGGTCATTTCACGTCAAGTTAGGTCAAGGTCAATGATATGTGTTTGTATGTCTGTGTATGTCTGTGTATGTACTGATGTGTGCACAGATTGGGTTGTGTGTCCTTATTACATGAGATCATGAACTGAGAAGCTTTTACTAAACATGCAGTCAAAGAAACTTCACGAAAATAATTTTAGAAAGACCTAGGTTGACCTTAACCCTGACCCTGACATCTGTACATCGCAGAACAACATGTTCAATGATAGGTGGGAGGTAAAACCGGCAAAAAAGCGGAAATCAAGGTGTCAAAAGCTCACAAGGCCCATAGCCAACACTGAACGCAAGATGTTTGGTATTCCTCATTTAGGTAATGACATGACCTGAAGAACAAGGTCATATTTCCAAACCCAAAAGCCACAGAAACTTGAAGTTTTCAAACTGACGCTGAGAAAAGATAGAAAAGCAGCTATCCAAAAATCGGGTTTCTAGCTTTAAAAATGTTCAGTGTGTAGAGCAGGAAAACTAACTTGGGGGTGGCAACCCCCCCCCCCCCCCCAGGTGCGGGCGAGGATTAAGCCTCACACTTTCTGGGGTATAGGTTAGAAGATTCCTTGCGCAATACTGTGCCATTAAATTCTTTTTTTTCTACAATAAAGGCATTTTGTTTTATCGTCAAAAGTGAAAAAGCCAGAAATTTTCATCGATTTCGGACGCCACGGGGGATATTTACATACGATGTCACCCTGCTGGCCTGGATCCACCAGTATGGGTCAGGTGAACTACCATTTCGTTATAAATATTGAAAAAAAAATCATGGCATCCGGGCTGTGACGAAAAATAAGTGGCCTAAATCCAATGATAAAACTGGATTTGGGGGTACCCTAGGTTTGGCTTCTGAGCCTCCGGTCCCCCAGTGAAAATTTCTTAGAGGAGGCCCTGGCGTGGTTCGTAAATTACCGCTTCCGCAATTGGAGGCCCCTAATTGCTTGGAGGCCCCCACTAAATGGAGTTCCCCTTGGACGTTTGGGACCCCAATGGTGATGTCAAAGTTTCACCCATGCAGGTCACCAAAAACAAAATATAGAAAAGGGAATGTGCGACACATGTTTCATGGGTCATTTTTTCATATAATTCAATAGGCACACTCAATAAGTGATATGGACCACATCTGGATGAATTTCAGGTCGAGGTCAGGTCAAGGTCAGGTCAAGTGAGGTCAAATTTTGAAGTTGGTTGTTAAAGGGACTGTCCCACCTTTGCATTAGTTCTGAGTTGAGAAAGCCAAGTTGGCGGCCAGGTTCAGAAACCACTATATATCCTGGTCGCAATATCCTCAGTTTCATGGTGTTAAAGAAATTCGTTCCCTTCATTTGAAAAGTGGGCCTTAGCTAAGGCCCTATCTCTTAACCCGCGCACCGACGGGAATCTGCGCCAACTTCGCACCGACGGGGGGGGGCGGAAGACCGCCCCCCCCCCCTGAGATCTCGAGAACGAAGCAAGATAGCGACAAGCGTAAACGGCATCGGATACGCACGGTCAAGATCTACAATTTTTACGAAGGTCATTTTCAGGTCAGGTCAAAGATGACGTCACAGGGGTCGAAAAAGTCAAAATGGCGGCGCTAGATATGGAGAGAGTTTTTCTCGAATAACTTTCGAATTAGTCAAGATAGGAACAAACTAAGGGCATCATCGTGATCCTTTCGTCAATCCGCATCGAATGATATATATGTCGACCTCGAAAGGTCAAGGTCAAAGGTTGACCTCAGGTCACGTGACCTCGAGGTCATCATGTATATCATTCGATGCGTCTTGACGAGCTGAACACAATGAGACCATCCACGCGACTGTATCTTGTTCCTGTACGGAGTTATTGGCCAAAAACCTTTGGTGACCTTTGATGACGTCACATGACCTCAGAGCTGCCCAACAGCAAAGCAGACCTCAAGGTAGTGAAGGTTGATCGTATATGAAGTCATGTATGGTATATGGGGCCATTCCGACCAGTTTTAGTGGTAAAAACAGGGAGTTGATTTTTCCCCCATTGACTTATAATGGGAAGGCCGCGAAATTGACCTGACCTTAGGTCACCGATATCAAAATTCCGAGATAAACAAATTGTAGCTACTAAG